CGTCGTGGATTAAATTCGGCTAAATCTGCAACTATGATTCCTCTCTTTCTTCTCTATTCTTTTAGTTTCTCTCGATCCACCTTCCCTTCTCTCTCGATTTGGCACGATATAGAGAACTCACAGGTCGGACACACACGAGCAAAAGTGGAAAACAAAAGCAGAGAGCTGCTATAAAACGGGGATTCGCTATTCGTTTATTCAGCGTGAAGAGAAGGCTACCGTCTTATGAAGGCGAAATCTATTGCGAGGTATGTATATCATATATGATATTATATATAATATATTATGTATATATAATAGTTGAGTTTCACTTCGTCGCATCGACGAACGAATTTTTCATCTTCGTTAAACGCGGAAGAACTTCGAACTGTGGCCGATAATAACGCTCGTTTTTCATTCCGTTTCCTTTGTTCCGTTTCGCCGTTCGAACGGTCACGCGCATGCGCGCGCCTACGCGCGCCATATTCGAACGCGAGGGCAAAGAAACGCGAGCCCCGTTCGAGGAAATTTCAACGAAATTTCAACGCGGAGAGGAAGAGAAACGTTTATATACCACCTATTCCCCATGTTTTCCCTCCTTTCTTCGCCTCAGCTCTCATTCTCTCTTATATACACGTAAAATACATAATGTCGTAGGCGAGAAGGTATTCCGTTCATTCCCACAGACCCAACTTTTTCTTCTTTTCTTACAACGGTTAAAAATTAAGGCGCCTCTTATTATTATCCTGAGTATGCGAACAACGTTCTGTTTTCGTTAATAAACCCGATTCTTCGTTTATAAAAATTCGATTCTTCCCCCATTTCTCTTTTTCTTTTTTTTTCGTTTTTTCGTTTTTTCTTTTCTTCTCTTTTTTTCTTCTTCTTCATCCTAACATCTTAGTCTTTTCGTTTCGTTACTGTGTGTTTCTATATTCGGTAATAATATATGTAGTATAATAGTCGTTCCTGGAATCGCGTCAAGCGGCACTCCTTTTTATAATTATCGTCATTTTGCGATCGCAGGGTTAAACGTATAAAAAATCTGTCAAAAATAGAACGGGTGCTACGTCTAGAAAATGTCGCGGATGTAAGAACGTCGAAACTCTACACTGTGGTTCGATTTGTAAGGCCTTTGTGCATATCATCGTTCCTGTACTCGAATATTATTATCTCTTTTATTTTCTTTTTTTTTTCTTTTTCCTTTTTTCCATTTTCCTACAGTGAATCGCTAGTCGTATCTTCCTACGTAAAAAACCTTTTATTCCATTTTTCCATTTTTTAATTCGACGAGTAAAGCCATGTTGTCTGTTTCATATATATATACTATATATATTAAAGCACACAGGTCGAACTGTTCTCCAAAGTCACCTCTCATGAATGGACACGCGTGTTTTCCCGCCTTCCCGCCCGTTCCCATAACAACCCCATACGCGTCAAGCTCGAAGGCTCGTCTGGGCGTTCAACCAGTTCGGTGGAACGACCTCCCTAGAAAACCCGAGTACCTCACTACTCCCCTATTTTTCTCTTTCTCTCCTCTTACTCGCGAAGCAACGATCAAAATGGGACCCAGGAACGGTACAGAGGATGCGAGAAACAAGGGATTTCCAGACGAGGTCCTTCGACCCGCCACCCTGTTCGTGTACGTGAGCCGGAAAATACGCGTTCCATCCATGTTCCGAGCTGCATTATTACTGCGATTAATATGTACCTATATAAATTCGAAGCACTTGGGTTGCGATTCAGGTTTCAGGTCGTGTCGTCGATTAGTCTTTAATTAACCTGTATCCGTATGCGTGTGTACGTGTGTAGATGATTGCGGCGTGTCTAGTATCGCGATCGTGTTCGCATATATGAACGCGCTGTCCGTAATGGGTATTACCGTGGTGTATAGGAGGCGCGAGAGTGCGCATGCGCGACGTGCGCGCGCAGCTAGAGTCTCAACGCGTCTTGGCCGCAGAGCGACACACGGGTAGTACGAGTGGAGAGACATTATTTCCGGATGCACGTGCAGGCTTTCGATCCGGTCGATTCCCAGGCAGGGTCCGATCTCTGCACGTTCGCGTTTCGTCCGTCCCGCGCTGGTCAATCAGTTCTACCCCTCGAACCCCACTCCCCGCCACTTTCCAATCCCTCTTTAATTTTCGTCCGGCATTGTCGACACAGCTCGGCTATTCTTCTCTCCCGGCCAGCCCTCCTCGTTTTACCGTGTATCCGTCCGCGGCGCTTCGCCGGCGCGCATGCGCACACGCGCCGCGTGTATGCGTCCTTTAGAATATCCGCGGGAGTGTGCTCGTTTGAAACATTTGTATGTATACCAGGCGTGTAGTGTATGTGTGTATTCGTGTACGGGGGTAGAGTATAGCGTATATATCGCACGTATGTCGTGTAGCTCACGGTGTACGCGTGTACGTGAGATTATGTAGTATGCGTGTACGTATGTGAAAGAAGCTTGTTCTCCCCGGAAGATTGTCGCTTCCGGTTCTTGCTGTATTATTTTTTCTTCTTTTTTTTTTCCAGCTACCGTTTCTTGTTTCTTATTCTTATTCTCCCTCCTTCTTTCTTTCTTTCTTTCTTCTTTTTTTTATCTTTTTCTATTTCTTTCAATATAGCCCGTAAAAAGTATGTATATAAACGAATACTGTTACCTACAAATGTAATGAACACATTGTTTTGCCTTTTCCGTATTATTAGTTTCTTTTTTCTTTTTTTACCTTCCCCCGCGAGGGCACCGCACTCGCGACTTCACTATACTAAACGCGTCTTCCGGTAGATTTCCGCGATCGGCCGCGACAACCACGTTACCTTTCTTCCTTCTCTCCCTTTCCCTTCGCACGCGCGTCCGTGTATCAACACCTTCTACCCCCCTTTCGTTTTTCCTCCCCCTTTTTCTCCGTTTAATTACAGTATACATAGACATATATTTATATATATTTTTCATCGTAATATGTAATGAAATATAATCCCTATCGTAATATATTCTCTCTCTCTCTCTCTCTCTCTCTCTCTCTCCTCTCTCTCTCTCTCTCTCTCTCTCTTTCGCACAAACACACACACGCGCACGTTTTCTCTCTTTCTCTCTCTTTTTCTTTCACTCTATCGTCTTTCAACGATCCCCGAATCGTCGCTGACAGCGACATCTGTAATTACATAGATCGCGGACGATCTCCCCTCTTCGTTTTGTTATACCCCCTAAGAGTCCATTCATCATTATTATTATTATTATTATATATCGTAGCAGTGAAATGCTAGAAAAAACTCGTAACTAAAACTCGTAACAATAATAATAGTTATCATAATGGTGATAATGAGACGTATTAATTAATAATCATAATAATAATAATATTAAGTTCAATAATTAGTAGCGTTATCTTTCCTCCTTCCTCCCTTTCTCTCGTTACCTTTCTCTCTCTCTCTCTCTCTCTCTCTCTCTCTCCCCCCCCCATTTCTCTCTGCCTTGCACTCACACGCATCCCCGTTGTAATTAACTTGCAATATACATGCATGTATACGCCTGTACGTTACGTATGCGTGTGTATATATATTGTCCTATATATATATACATTATTTACACGCGTTCAAAAGCGTAGACAGGCCACCAGGGACCATATCACGATAAAGAACAGCTACTTCCCTCTTCCGTTTGAAAACTGTGTTGCCGTTCACCATCCACCTTCGCGAACGTGTGTACCGTTTGTGTACACGAACGAACGAAATCAAAAGATTAATCGAATAGGAAAAAGAAAAAAAAAAAAGGAAAAAAAAATGGAACGAAAAAGATACCAATCGAGGTAAAAACTTTTCTTCGAACGTTTAACGTTACACCTCGGGAGCACGAGATCCGACACGCCCCCTTCCCGTTCCGCAACTCCGAAGTCTCTCTATCTCTCAAAGAGCGTCTCAGAAACGAATCTCGTCGCGAAAAGAAAAGTGACAATAATGACGATGAAGAAAGAAACTAAGAAATAATTTGACCCTACATCTCCAGTTCTCAGTACCCCGTCCCCTTCCTTCCCGATTCCCGATAATCATTTAACAACAAAAATAACGATCCGCCACAGGGGCGTTTTCTTTCGCGTCTCTTATTGCACCCGTTTAAAAAAGTATAGAGCCGCACGTGCACGAAAGCTGAATACGCGCACCTGCGCGCGCAGCCGCGTGGCCCGTCGTTCCCTCGACCGCCGCGGCGCGTCGCTCTCCGCGCTGGGAATCGGCGGAAGCAAGGAAGGAAGCGAAGACGCGAAGAAAATGGCGAAACTAACCCTCTACTATGCGACGTGTCGCTCTGCCATGCGCCGTGGCGTTCGTCTCGCGGCACCGCCGAATCAGAAGAACGAGGAAAGAGACGAACGAAAAGGACTTTGTGACTCGAAACTCGAACTTTTTCCCATTTTTTTTTTCTTTTTCTTTTTCGCTATATTTAGTTACGCGTATGAGACGATCCGAAACGAAGTTGCGCCGTACGTAACGTAATTAAAACGGAATAACAGTAAGGTACCGGACTAAATTTCTATATATTCTTTGCGGTGTGCTTGTGTCGTGTCTATGACTTTCTCTCTGTATCCTACGTACGTATGCGTGTGTACCAGATGCGAACTATGTTTCTACCTACACGTTTTGTGACTCATACGATCTTTCACCTACTTGCAAGATTCCCAGAGTACGGCGACTCTGCTACGAACGCGTTGGATCGTGCTGTCGAAGGCGTGACACGTCGGAACGTAAAGATCGCACAGCGATCATCAATCGATCGGTAAGTAACTACTATTAGCGACGCCGCTAAAAACGCGAGATTACAATGGAGAAAACAATGGAATTCGATAAGGAAGAGATTTGCGTGAACAGGTATTGTTGCATCATCGCAGCCAGTCATCCGTGCTTTCCTTTTCGCCCGCTGAGCGGCGCTGTCGAACGCGTTTCCTACCCGTAACACGCGAAACACACCTCTCTTTGGAGCGCGTTCGTCCAACCGCTCTATCGACGGAGTCGAATGTCAACGGGTAAAAAAGAAAGGACAAGCGCGCCACTGGTTCGCCAAAGGACGAAGAATATGAATCGATTTCGAGATCTCCCGACGGTTCTCGATCGTCCGCGTTGCAATTAGGGGCCTTGCTAAAATTTCTAACCTCCAAATCGTTCGAAACAAGCCGAAATTGCGAGGATCGCGAAGGATATCAACAGTTCTGAACAGTCGTATGTCGCTAGTGCCTTCATCCCGTTCGATTTCCAACACTCGCTCGATGATAACCGGTGAGCATAATCTACGAATTTAATTTCGATCGAATCACGCGATGTCGCCGTGCAACAGCAACGCCGCGCGCATGCGTCCGAGTGCCGACCTGTCGAACGTTTTTACCGTTCGATACAAAGTCATTGACGCGGAAATGCCGAGTAGTTCGCCTCTCTCTCCCGTGTCCCAACACGTCGATACGAGTTTTGGAAAAAGAACCACCGCCTATATACCAATGATCGAAACCTTGCGTACGCTTCTCGCCCTTTTTTCCTACCAGTTGTCCCCTTTTCGTTAATTTTCTAAAAAGAAAGGTACACCTAGAAACCGGTTCAGCCCTGAAATACGTCCTAAGACCAGTTAGCTGGGAACCGGTGATACCAACGCCGGACACCGTTCAGTGATAAGCCTTCGTTTAACCAGCGTGGCTCGCGCATCGCAGAACGAGGTGCCAAACGACCGACGAGATCGAGCGACGCCATCTTGGCAGCCATATTGGAATCGTCGAGACATTAACAATCGTTCGCTCGTCCTATTTTTCCACTCTCTCTCTGTGTTTTTCTTTTGCCTTTCTCCCGCGAAATTGTCCCGACGCTTTTAAATGCAAATATATTTCGAGAAATACGAAACGCAAGCGTGTTCGAGCGTAAACGCGCGAGAAATGCGTGATAAATAGTCTCGCGATCGTCTGCTCGATCTCTTGTCGATCGTTTCCACGCGTTTCTATTGCCGTGAAACATATTTTTCCCTAAAATATACGCGACGCTGCCAATTCCCAGGCTCGGGGAACCGGTCTTAGTCGATAATTTACGCGCGATAAGATGACACTGATCGAGAATCCGCACAATGAAAAGGACAAAAAAAATTGAAATAGCAAAATTGACATTATTCGAGCGTGATTCAGCCTCGTGGTTCTTTCTTCTCGCAGTGCATTTTACCGTGATTTACGTCGTGGTGTATGCGTAAGTATAAAAAGAGAAGAAAAAAAGAAAAAAAAATAATGAAAAATCGGAATCTATAATCGATAACGTTTCATCTCTCTCTCTAAACTCTAGCTGAACTCAGTTTTGCGTCCTTACAGATACCTCGTGAACTCGGCCAAAGCAATCTTCGATTAATCCCTCGCCTCTCTTTCGCAGCTTGCCATTCGAAGAATCTCTTCTACAAATATACATATATAAATATCCTCTTCAAAGCTCTTTTAATCGATCTCTTCGATTTCTCGTAACGTTTGGTGCCGATTCTAGCGCCAGCTACTTCGTATCTCTTCTCTCCGTCCTCCGTTCGTCACACGCGCTGTCATCCACGCCCTTCCATTCTCCCTTTGTCCGAAGCAAACGAAACTCGGCCCCTCTATCACTCACTCTCTCTCTCTCTCTATCTCCGCCTCTGTCCTTACATACGTGTATATGTACATAAAACTTCTTTCTCCTACGGTAACGGATTTTCAAAGATTCGGTTCACCCCATATCCGCCCAAGCTCCGCGAACTCCGATCGAATCGTGAACCACAGAACCGCAACACAGCGTTTTCCTCTTCCCCGATCATCGGACCAAGAGCACACTCTCGTCCGCTCCCAACAGCGCCATGGCTGCCCACTGCTGCGCTGTTGCAAGTGCTGACGCCCAATGGCGTGCGACCGAAGCCAGAGTCAGTTAGACATGGCGGCGGTGTTCCTGGTTCGCGTGCAGGCATATCCGAAAATCGTCTAGCCTCGAAACGTCGAGTGGAGATTTGTCGCCGATCGTATGGGGTAACAAACTCGACTCTAGAACATTCCGAGCAAGGTATTTGCTTTCGCGTGTTGGTGGGCTGAATCCGACACGATTCTCCCGAGTCTCTCCCTCAACGCGTCATGGCGAGACTCCTCCGAAGCTGACTGAGCCTTGCTCGAAGCTTCTCCTGTCGCCGCCTCAGCTCCGTCACCTTCGCCACGGTGATCTGACCCATCTCGCTCAACATATCACAGTACACAGCCGCTTGCCTCAGGATCGCGACTTTCGGTGCCTTCTCCTTCGCCTCGACAGCCGGCACGAGCACGCGCAGCTCCTCGAACGCGTTCCGCAGCTCTATCCGCCTCTGGCGTTCCATGTTGTTGTGCAAGCTCCTTTTCTCCGTGTCCAATTCGTCGTCTGACGAGCTTCTCGAGGCGTTCGACATCTGGCTCAGCTTCATCGACGGTGGCGACGTGGACATGCATCGTCCCACCTTGCTCCTCCTCTGGTAGGTCCTGTGACGAGCTCGCTTCGCGGGTTTGTGCTCGGGCTGGGCGGTTCTCTTCCGTGCCGGGTTCGAGGGAGGTCGGCCACGTGGTCTGGGACCAGGAGCCTTCTCTTTGAAGGCTGTGTTCACCGTCAGCTGGAAGTGCTGCTGGTCGGCTAGGCTCGGGTACGTTGGTAACGCTGCTGGTCTGCACGGTTTCTCGAACGTCACCACGTCGATCTCTTCCTCCTCTGTAACAGTCATAAGGAGCAGACATTTTATGGTTGCTCGGATTTCGATCTCGTGTAGAATGCTGACTGCAATGATGCAGTTCCGATTGCAATGCGTTTTTAACCCTTCGCGGACGAATGTGATACGTGGTTTTGAGTAAACCGTACCCACCGTGGGACCGAGTCGCTGTCAAGATAGTCGTTCAAAACTACCAGCGCTCATTTCTACTTAACACGTTCACGCCGGTGCCGATTTTTCTGTTCCTCACTGTGGGGTGGCGCGCGTAGCTATGCATTTTGCTTGGAGATGAGAGCGTGAACGGTTGTGCACGCCGTTCGATGAGGGATCCAAGTGTGAGGCATCGGTGGTACATGTCGGCGTGAACGTGTTAAACGAGATTTTCGTTCATAGCGACGCTGGCAATTAGGACAAAACAGTCCATTGCTTAACTTGGGACGTGCAGTCCTAGGACGCATATATGCGTTTCTCGGCCATAGCAACATTACGTGAGACACAGTTACGAGTGCCTCGGCCCAATCAGTTGTTTTCACCGAACGCATATATGCGACGCTCGTCCGCAGAAGGTTGACACATTGCGTACGGGTGACGAGATATCTCGTGTTTAGCAAGCCGAACGTTGTGGCCGGACGACGAGATACCTCGTTTTCACGTTTCTTCGACTCAATCGATGATTTAAGGAATTAAAAATAGATTTCCTTGTTACGCTACCAGGGTAACGAAGTCTAGGGTATTCTTATTCTAATACCTTATGCGAATATAATGCCAAATGCGAATTAAAATGTGCGGACCCTGGAAGCGCGTTGCGCAAGCAGAGTGCCGTACGCAATGTGTTAACGCGAGTCTAGGTTAGAGTTAGGTGCTTTTCGACTAACGTCTTTCGTTATGATCGCGAATGATAGTCTGTTACTGAGTGTACTATAAGAATGTAGAATAGTCGCGAATGCTAGTGTACTCCAGCTCTTCGCGAAAAATTTGTGAATAGACACTCAGGATTATTAACCTTTTAGGTATGGCACCGCTCGTACTCTGTTTCCTAGAGAGACATGTCTTCGCATTGGTACCGTGATCTATGCCTTATATAATTTTCTTTTCAGCGCTACACAAATTCGTAATATATTTTAGTTTTGAGGATTTTACAATACAATTGGAAATGCGGTTTAGGCGTAATAAATAAGAAATAAAGCAAAGAATGTATAATAATCCCAAGATCATGGTGTCCATGGATGCCACTGTAGTGGCGTGCCGTACCTAAAAGGTTAACAAAGTAGAGGATCAACTTCTACGTTTGCTAATTCGATGAGAAAAGAATGTAAAATTTCTTAAAACCAAATGTAATAATTATCTTTGTAATAATTGATACCCTGAGTATTGCACGAAAATAGTTATGGTCGACAAATGTGTCATTCGAACAGTCTATTTATAATTCGTCTATACCAAAGATAGCGAGAACGAGAGAAAAGAGAACGAAATAATTCTAAAAAGGAGGATTTAGCACGCCACGAGTGGAACAATTAATCACTTTGTCCCGTCTCAATTTAAACTGCAACGCAATCGTAACGACAGTGCTTACCCAGTAGCCTCCGTCATCCGCGCGAGTTCCAAAGAACTCTCGAGATGCTCCGTGATACTCTGTTTCGTCTTTTTTCCAAGAAGCAGTTAGCATCTGCGGACAGCCGTGAAACGTCGCTAATTAGTCGAGACGAAACAAGCCGCTCTCTGTCTTAGCCTCGGCGATGCTATATTCAGGGTGAAGGCCAGCCGCGGACAGCGTGGAGAGATCGTGTCACGGTTCTCCGTGGCGCCAGGTATTCGTGCGATCAGCCACAGGAAAACCCGACAGTGAGCTAGCGTCCAGTCAACGCTGACACTCTCCACCGGACGCTATCGATACCGTTCATCTACCAAGATTCCCATGATCACGTGCCAGAACAGAATTGAACACAGCCCAAGAGAGTTCAACGGAGTCCAACAGAGTCCAACTGCTATGCGGACACACCGATTCGGCACAGTTTACTCGTAACAGAGTCTAACAGACTCTAACAGACTCTAACAGTGACCAACGAAGCTCTACTACCTGGAGAGTTTGGCTATGACGAGAACAGAGCTGAACACAACACACCCAACAGAGCCTAACACAGTTTATTAGGGACCATCGAAGCTCTACCAAGAAAGGTGATGGCGAAGACAGAGCCTAATAGACTCTGACAGACTCTACCAGTGACAAACAGAACTCTACTGCGCGCAGAGTTTAGCTATGACGAGAACAGAGCTGAACAGAACCCAACAGAGCCTAACAGAGCCTATCAGGGTCCATCGAAGCTCTACCAGGGAAGGTGATGACAAAGACGGAATCTAACAGACTCTAACAGACTATACCAGTGACCAACAAAGCTCTACTACGCGAAGAGATTGGCAGTGACGAAAGCAAAGCTGAACAGAACCCAACAGAGCCTAACAGAGTCTATCAGGGACCATCGAAGCTCTATCAGGAAAGGTTATGACAAAAACAAAGCTTAATAGACTCTAACAGAGTCTAACAGACTCTACCAGTGACCAACAAAACTCTACTACGCGGAGAGTTTGACTATAACGAGAACAGAGCTGAGCAGAACCCAACAGAGCCTAACAGAGACTAGTAGGCACCATCGAAGCTCTACCAGGAAAAGTGATAACAAAGGCAGAGCCTAACAGACTCTAACAGACTCTAACAGTCTCTACCAGTGACCAACAAAGCACTACTACACGGATAGCTTGGCAAACGCGAAGACAGAGCTAAACAGAGTCTATGAAAGATAGTCAAAGCTCTACTACATAGAGAGACGATGACAGACAGGGCTGAACAGAGCTGAACAAAACCCAACAGACTCTAGCCGAGGTGAAGGAAGCTAGAGCTCGATGACAACGAACACAGAGACCCGCTACGTGGGCTAAACCAGGATAGTTCGCTCGCAAGAGAGACAGAGCTCAGAGCACAGATCTACGTGGGCTAAACTAAGCGCAGAGCCAGTGCCGAGAGAGGCGTATGGGAGAAAAAGAAGGAAGATCGGTGGATGGTATAATAACGGGGTATCCTTTAGGAGCACGTGGCCTCTGCGGAGGCGTTCGAAGGGACATACGACACCGTGGGCGTTTCTGCAAACTGTGTCATCCATGGCGTCTGGCACAATCAGTGGAAATCCGGTTGGTCCAGATTCCTCTCCGCCGCGGATACGGACCGTAACTCTTTCCTCAAGGACAACGTTCGGGATACAATCGCTCAATGTCGACGCGCGTTTCACGACAAGGAAGCCTTTCTCTCTAACCGACTCTCTATCTCCCTCTCTGTTCTCCGTGTATAGCGGTCCCCGATTACGTTCGCTCGATGTACGGATGAATTTCGTTCCGCAACAGCTCGTTCATAAAACGAACCATTAACCGGCCAGTGCTCGTAAATACGTTTATAATTGAATTCCGCTTAACGTCCGCCTCGCCGGAAGCGTGTTTCGCGACATTTCGCGAAGTACTCGGGGTGTCCGCCGGCTGACGGAGGGCGCCACTGTCGCTGCGAGAGCGACGCTACGGGGCTACGTCGCAGCGATGGCAGCTATAGGGGGTCGTCGCTTGCTACTAGCTGTAACAGAGAAACCCAACGATGGGAAATGCATGGCCAATTCGCAAGCGTGAAGCTGATTCACGGTTAGGAACGTTTCTCTCGCCTGGATTGCAGCCGCTCACTTTACGATCGCTGCACTTTCATGCGTCAATGTTAACGCTCGCCGCGGCTTATGCATAGTTATCTTTCGTCCGATTGCGCTAATTCCATTCCGCAAACGGAGAAACAAACGCGCGAAACGCGCCAGCTCGATACGAGATCGTGTGCGCGAAGAACTTGACCTGAAATTCCGAGTATAAATTCGGGGATAGGGAAGGGGGTTGTAGCTTCTGTGTGATGGAAAGGTGAAAGATTTAAAGGTTTATTCTGATGGGTTTTCTAATTACTTTTTTATCCTTTGGTAATCGATTATTTTCTTGATTATATAGGTTTTATGTGAATAAATATAGGATCTCGATTTATCTCGTCTTTTCGTCGTTTCGATGGGTTTATTGGGCAAGCTTCTGTTTGGGAGTGGGGGATAAAGAAGATTCGAAATGTACCAAGTGGAATTACGCTAATAAATTAGCGAGTTTAGATTGATTGCAATTGTTCGAGTTAGGAATTATTGGAAAAGATGAACAATTTTATTAT